AGAGGGAGAGGGAGAGGGAGAGGGGGAGGGAGGGAGGGTACAAATGTGTGCTGCTTGTGTTTATTGTATATGCAACTACTCAACACACAGACATAGATGGTGTTTATCCTGTAGTAGGATTTTCCTTTGAATGTTATGTTTGCTGTTTTAAGGAAGGTGGGCATTTTGCTTTGGCTTGAAAGCGTGTTCTTGGGGCGCAATTCCTTGAAGGTTTCCTCCGTTACATGGGGCTGTCTGAACATTGGGTTCCCTTTAAGGTATTCGGAATATCTAAACCCTATACTATGCTCCAACCCGAAACTGTGAGCCTTATACAGACAAGTGAAGGTCGTCCACCTTCTGACAGAGATTGAGCGCTGGGTCTCGGGATCAGGGTTGAGTCTTTGCAGCTGGGGGTTTTGCGATTGGGTTGTAAGGCCTGGGTTTGAGTTTAGCCTTCCGTGGACTTGTGGTGGAGGTTTGGCGGTCTTGAGTTTGTGTTGCTTCCCTCGGGCAGAGACAGGAACGTGGAAGATGCCCAGTGGATCGTTGACCACGTGAACGGCAACGTCCCGCAGAATCTCACAGCCCCAGTTTCCGTGCCTGGCCTCGTTGTAATGGGATTGCGCTGGCTGCTTAAATAAACTTGGTTCATGTCCCCGGAACCCAGAGAGCCCAATACCCCTTAATTAAGGAACATACCTTCACTCATAATATTAAGGCCCTATAGTTGTAGGTATAGTCCTTGTTGGAGGGGTATTGGGCTCTCTGAGAAACCTACGCCCCAAACTCCACATTCGGTCAGCCCCACCCCCACAGCCCTAAACCCTAAACCCTAAACCCTAAACCCTAAACCCTGAACCCTAAACCCTAAGTTTGCAAGATCAGAAACTTCAAACCCTGGATCTGCACAGAGTGTGCCCTGTCAGCACTGAGCTCCAACTCCCCAAACTCGAATGGCAATATGTAAGATTATAAGGGTTTAGGGTTTAGGGTTTAGGGTTATAAACCATGAAAAAACTCAGATATAGCAAACAGGTATCTTATGATGTTGGATCAGAGCCGTTAACCCCCAATTCCTACAGCCGGCTTTCTCCTAGGCTTCGTCGGCCTAGCATTCTGGGTGTTCAGGGGTGAATCATCGGGTCATCCTCGGTAGCACTGTCGTGCTGGCTGCAGTAAGCGTCGTCATCATGATCCGCACGTCTTCCCCTCTTCCCCTCTTCATCATCAGGGTCATCCTTGCCGTTGCCTTTGTGCTGTTGGTGCTACGGAATGACTCATGTGCTGCTGCTGCTTCTGTTGTTGTAAGTGTTGCTGTTGCTGTTGCTTGTGTTGTTATTCTGATTCTTGGTATCCGGATCATTGCACAGTTTTTACTGCATCCTTGCAGAATGCCTGCGGGTTCAGAGGTGCCAAAATTAAACCCCACTTCTAGGGTGGTTTTCCAGGGTGTCAGGTTTACGGCTGCCCCACAAACCGAAGACCCAGAATCGCTTGTCAGCGCTTCGGAAGTGCATGAAAACTCCGCAGCCCCAAGCGCCGGCCGTCCCCTCTCTGAGGTGGTCTTCGCCACGCCCAGGGACAGCGCAGCCGTACCACAACCGTTTTAACATTTTAAGTTTAGGGTTCAGGGCTGTTGACGCTTGATCCGACGAGCTCAAAAAATTGAACCCTGACCCCCCGGTACTCGACCGCACTAGCGGGCTCAATGAGCGATCTTCAAGGACACCCACCCAAAAAACTAGTAGAAGACTCAAGAGACAAGTCCCCGGCCTGACCTAAGCAGGACAAAATGACGAGTCCGACGGGAAAGGGCATGATGATGAAGGGGTCCATGCCGCTGGGCTTCTGCAAAGGGTGGCCTAAACCCTGAATTTGCCCTAAGGCCTGCATTTTTGGTGGACAAGCAACTACAAGTTTTAGTAGCCGCAATAGTACTGCTAGTAGAAGCAGTAGTAGTAGCACCAGCAGGTTTTGCAGTCGTTGTCGTAGTCGTAGCAGTAGCAGTAGCAGTAGCAGTAGTAGTAGTAGTAGTAGTAGTAGTAGTAGTGGTAGTGGTAGTGGTAGTAGTAGCAGCAGCAGCAGCCGTCGTAGCAGTGCAATATCGTTAGCATAGTCGTTACCACCGGTGTCCTGCATGCGATGCAAAGATATGGCGAGGTCGAGTTGGCTTGCTTGTGCAGAGTTCACCCAAGCAACGGCAAAGCCCAGGCATGCATGCGCTGTCTCCCAAATGGTTCAACTTCTACGGCTTCAAAAGCGAGGAGGTCACGAGATGGAGGGGTGTAAATTGTTTATCAACGGTTTGCAGATTGCCTTGTCTGTTCAGGCTGTTCAGTACACGCGGAAACCATTGGCGACTGGCACAGCCAAGGTTCCGGATGTGCAAGCTATAACGAGCTCTGGTGATATAGCGGAAGAGAACGCTTATTTGGGCCGTCTCTTATCTCTTAGCAGGAGAACGGCAGAATGCTCTAGACTCTAGAGCATTGCCGCCTTGCTCTGCCTTCAACGGACTCAGCCATGAGCGGCATTTGCCTGCCTAAACCAAGGCTTGCTCATCAGTGCCAGAGTGAACAAAGTCGAGTCTATGTCTGCACTGCAGCTGCCAGCAGTCCTCAGGCAACATGGCGAAGCACAGATGGGCGGATTTTGATGTCATCAACCGAATTAGCACTGCAAGCGACTATCCGCGTGAATGTGTTCTCATTCTGCACTTCGAGCTTCGCTTAGCCCAAAACAGCTGCAGTCCTTGTATTCGGCGAACTAGGGCAGAACCTTGAAACCCTTGGCGATTCCTTAAAGCAACGGAGGGTCAAGAACCAAAAAGCAGGGGCGGCCCTTGCGAAGAGCCACCTTCCAAAGTGGAGAATTTCTTGATGGACGTCTTTGAAGTCTCGGGCTGTGCCGGAAGCGAGGCACTTGATGTAGGGTAGGAGCAGTAAGGGGTCGAGTCCGTCAGTTGCAAGAAACCCTGCAGGTGATGTTGGAGATGACGATAGGCGTGAAGTCCAAGAAGACGAAGACCGCGCTGCGGTCGAAGGAATCTGACGAGGATCCAACTACCCCAGGCAGGTTCACCTTTCAAGGAGTCTTGGCTCAGAGTTGGCACAGGGCAAGAGTACATCTGCTGCCATATGCATGTGCTCAGAGTTTCTGACTCACCCTGGTTTGCTTCTGCTCAGAGTTGATGCGCATGTGTGGTCTTGAGCTTCACGCACGAATCTTGACGAGGTGACAAGGGGCGGATGACACCTTTGGTGGCCGTGATTCCGACCAACCCTCCCGAACAGCTGGACGTGATCCTCTCCCTGTATTCGCGAATTACTGGATACGTGAGCAACGCTGACTGGCAGCGGATTGGCTTTTCTCGGATAAAGGCCTTGGTTCGTCAACTCGATTGGCCTCATCAGTTTTAGGATTAGTCCCCACAGCACGACAGGTGGCAGAGGTCCGAGACTGGGATGGCGACACCCAGACGCCGCTGTGGTGCACCATGAACAGCATGGCCCACCTGCCCAGCAGCGTGGAGCCAGGCGGGGCCGTCAAGTGAAAGAACAGGACGCATGAAGCAAGGCTATGCTTCTCGTATGGTAAATATAAATATTTATATATATAGACAACATGATGCTTACGTAACATGTTGGATATGATGCAGTATAAGCAGATTATGTAAAAAGCGAAGCATTAGCGTTGGTACTGCTTCTACAGGGCTTACCTCATCGGTCCACAAGCAGTCGGTGTCGCTGTAGAGCCCAAGCATGGATCCTGTGCACAGATAAGATACTGAAAGCAGTGGCCGAGCCGAAGCCCGAAACCGAATGTACGGCCAATGTCACTGAACCTAACAGACTGTTTGTGTTGCCTGGAAGCGGCTGGCGAGCAGAGGCAGCAACCTTGCCACCCCGCACATATCACTGCTTTCTACTGCAGCAATCCCCGGATTCGCGTCTTCCTCTCAGGCTCCATCCTGTGCTCCCTGGCCAAGTCACAAGAGACCGTGCTCACACGGGGCGTTCCAAACTGCAAGCCGGTGAAGTTCCACCTGCGCTGCTACATCAGCATGGTGCGCACACCGGGGAGACGGGGGGCTCTTGGGGTTTGCAGATTTGTGAGGCTGACTGAGGCAGCTCTGTCGGATGTGCAAAGGCTGCAAAGGCATACGTGGATTTCTAGAGGCAGCTTTTTTGTCGGGCTCGCCCCTTAAAAAGAGTTTACCTGAAAGCCTCAAGGACTCCCCCAGCAATTTGCCTGCATGGTCAGGCACGGAACCTGCAGTGCGAGGGCAACCGGGTTCCGAGCGCCTTCTGCGAGATTTCTTGCGCTGGTCAGAGAGAGCGTCCCTTTAGCGGCACTAACTTCACCGCCTGCAAACTTCAGATCTCCAAGACGAGGGTGGACCAAAGCGAGAGAGAGGGCGGCACATGCACTTCTTCCGAGCTCTCAGCAGCTCAGGAACCGCTGTGATTCCGCAGACCTCTTCACCCAATTGGTCGGATATGCTAGCATTGGACATCAGCCCCTCTCCAGCAGTTGTCGTTTGTAGCCTGACATACGTCGAGTGAGACATAGTTGGATCTGCCGTCCGAGGCCTCCAGTGTTCCTTGCAGAACATGCGCTGCTATCCAGAGCCGGTGCAGATTCCTGTCTTTACTTCAGACAGATACGGGCATACCCTGCTCGCAAGTTAGGTTCGCTTCATGATGATCGCAAGCCGTTTGTGGGTGAGTTTTTTGAGCTGCAGGCTGACCGTGTACGACGTGGTTGGCAAGTCATTGATGGACAAGGTAGCTGATGCCGCAACTAGCGCAAAGCAGCTTGCGAACAGCGCCATGGCGGGGCAGCTGGGCAACAACAAAGAAGGCAAGCTGAACTTCAATGACGAAGCCGGACAAAGCGGGCTGGCTGACATGGACTTTGCGACCGGGCCGAATTCAACCTGTAGAAGCTGAGCGCTAGCATCCAACGGCATGCCCGGTGCAAGGTCCCAACCGCACATCAGCCGATCCGCCATGTACTGCTAGTAGCTGCTAGCTAGTACTATGAACTGCTGCAACTAATCAAGGGCCACACGAATGTCACAGCCATGGCATGAGTGCTACTGGTACTACTGCTTCTCTCGCTGCTACTGCTGCTGCTGCTTCTCCTACTACTAGTCCCACTGCTCCTCCTACTGCCGGCAACGGCATTGCCACGACCGCGACGACTACTTCGACGACGACGACGACGACGACGACGACGACGACGACAGCGACAACGACGATGACGAATACCACTTGATTGTTAAACTATCTGATCGACGGTTGATTCATCAGCACAGCGCTATTGTCGTGCATGCTGATGTTGCCCTTCTTGGGGCGCGCTCGTGCGAGGCGAAGCTGGGGGATGAATACAAGGAGTACGTCAAAGACCAAGCTCTTGCCACGATGATGGGTGATGTGAGCCTTGCCTGCCTATCGAAACGGGAGCGTTTCTCGTAGCTCGATTCTGTTTGCGAGCTCATTTTTTTGGCCGCGCCCAAGATCTTGAGCAAGCATTGTCAGGATGGCTGCCAAGAGGCTTGGCGAGGTGAAGGGCGGCCGGAGGGTGATCGGAAGGCAGAAGATCAACTTCCGGAAGCTGCTCCACCCGCTGGCGAACTACAAGATGAGGCAGCGCTGGCTCAGGCTCAAAGGTGGCGTCATGGCAACCGGCTGGGCCGGCGACATCATGATCGGACTGGAGATGATGAGGGCGAAGTATGTGTCGGACTTTCCCCAAAAGATCATGAAGCCTCCAGGAAAGCCCTGCTTAGTCTCCGTGAGCATTATCGGCCTCCGCAACATCACGCTGGGGGATCAGCTTCAGGGGGAGCCCGTCCTCGAGATCGTGGTGCCCTCGGTGAAGCCAGACCCCAGCAAGCCCCAGCCAAAGGCTTCGCCCAAGGCTCTGGCGGCTCCGGAGGGCAAGGGGAAAGGGAAGGGCAAAGAGGGGAAAGGCAAGGAGGGTAAAGGCAAGGAGGGGAAGGGCAAAGGCAAGGGCAAGAAGGGACAGGTGCCTGAGGCCGAGGTCGTTGCAGAGGTCAAGGAGGAGGAGAAGCCCTCGAAGGCAAAGGAAGGGAAAGACAAGGAGAAGGAGAAGACTGCACCCGGCATGGAGGGCTTAGCAACGGCTGAAGGCAGCGATGCCATCCAGGAGAAGAGCGAATGGGTACAGTACCAGAAGAAGCCGAACACCCGGCTGCACGACAAGGACACCAACAAGAAGTGGACCGCAAGCGGCCGCACGGGCTATGAGTTTCTGAACGTGGTTCACCTTGCATCTCGGCTTTCAACGCCCACCCCGCGTGAATCCCCAGTTGAAAGACACATAGTAGCCTTTCTTCCGAGGGTGCTCTTCTGCCCAAGCTTCCGGTCTACGAGCCCGACATTCGCTTCCGCCTCCGGGATGCTCAGCTGCTTTGAGGCTTCATAGTATCTGGCATTGTGAAGACCAATCACGGCAAAGTCGCGGTATGTGCCACTAATTACCTTTCTGATTATTTGACGGTTTTGGTATGGTTCAAGGCGTTTCTGTGATGTCGTTATGCGTGTGAATACGGTTTCTCAGAAAGCAGCTCGGCTGCAAGTCCGAAAAACATATTGAAAACATGGCAAAACATATCAAAGCCAGTCCTGGAGGAGTCGTAAATACATCTCAACATCATCTCGAACTCGTAAAGAATGATGATTCCTGGAATACTTCGTTGTGCTAGGAGTCTTCTGCACTCTCGGCAGTATGTTGTCGCGAACAGATTCGGAATTTTCTTGGCAATAGCGCAGGGAGTTCATGGCAGCGGCCCACAGCCCCAACAACTTCAGCAGCATAGCAATCAAGACCTGGTGCATTGCAAAGGGCCTCTTGAGAAGAGACTGTTGCGAAATGTTGGTAACCAGATAAAGCCAAGTGGGTGGTTGTCAAAATTATGGTCCCTTTTTGGGTCCGTATTATAATACGGCACCTATTATTTAGGGTACCCCAAAAGGGACCATAATTTTGACAACTACCCAAGTGGAATCTGACACCAGACGCTGAACGCAGCACACATGGCTGAGCCGGATTGTTGTAACGGGGGAGAGCAAGCCTGAATATGTCAAGGACAGTGCTGTCGCCACCAGCCTTCTGGCAGAGGGCCGCATTGGATTGGCCGAGTGGTCTCCTCGGTTCTCCTGGGGCGGAGGATTTTGGCTTTGTTTAACCCATCTCCCGACAAAGTTCCAGTAGTCGGACACGGTGCAGGGTGGTATGAGTACTGATCTGAGACACCGAAGATGGGTGGATAAAGCAGTGATTTAAGTTCGTGGGTGTTACGGAGTTGGACGTCTGACCATTGAGGGTGTAGTTTAGGAACCCAGGTTTCGTATATATGAGTAGGGTTTCGGTTTGTGGAAGCCTTGGTTACTGTAGATTCTCGCACACGGCCTAGACATGGGCTTTGAGCGCAGAAAGCAACTTCGGTGCTGAAAGTTCCGAACCAGGCCTGCAACCCGACAGCAAAGGAGTAACAGCAGGACTAGCCATGTTCACGGGCAGAAAAACTCAGAGGCAAAGTCCACCCCAAGACCCCTAGAAGCTCAGCTCGCAAGAGCGAAAAGCCGTAAACACACTCCCTAAACCCTAAGCCCTGAAGGAAGAGTTCAGGGTCGGTCCTGTCCTTCGAGGGCTTGTACAGGAAGGGCAGGCAACGGGGAGCACATTGAACAATTCCGCAAAGACTATGCTGCCTGAAGCGAGGGACCGCCAGTTGGCAATTCTGGTGTTTAGTGGTGAATCCCCCTCGTCTTGGTCTTTATAGGAAGCTGCCTCAGCCTGATAGGCCTTGCGCAAGCATACGTAGAAAAGGGACCACAAAAAAGAAGGAAGAGTTGATTGGCCTAGGCATTTACCCTGGGTGACAGACCCGGAAAAAGCGAAGCAGCTCGGACGCAGATGGCTCCCAGCAAGGTCAGGGTCCTTCTGTCACTGTCTGGAAAGGACACGATACCATACTATACTATACCAAACTATATTACGTTATACTATTCTATACTTTACTACATCATACTAGAGATGGAGAGAGATGGAGAGATGTGCAGACTTGCTCCGAGTCTGCTCTGCTATTCACGGGCATGTCCATACAATGCAGCATAATAACAGTACATCAAGTTAGTCGAAGCGGCTGGAAGAGAGCGGACCCATTATGCATAAGGTTGTTGTTGCGCGTCTCCGTCTGTGGGGTGGTTGGATGGGTAGGTATACATACAGTCGGTTACAATCGCAACAGATAGTAAAGAAAGGAGTGAACACACAAACGCACACACACACACCACACACACGCACACCGTGTACGCATCAATCTGTTTTGACTCCTGTATAAAGCATCACGTCGGAATGATAGAATGACGTACTTCGGAGTGCTGGTCGCACAGGGCTCTCACGTGCTAAGCAGCATGCACAAGGAAATCCACTGAAGCGCGCGACAAATATTCCGACAGCTGCCTGGTGGCATCAGTGTGGCGATAAAGAGTCTGACTGAATGAACGTGTGCTGAGTTGCATCGGTGCTTCCTTGGTTCTGAGGCGAAGACGGTGACCGCAACGACGGCATGCCTGTCAGTGATTGTGATGACGAAGGCATCATCCGTGAGATCCAACAAGCTTGTGTACACGTCTACATGCACGTCTACACCTATGCAGATATACAACTCCACTGTAGCATGTGTGTCTAAATGTATGTGTATATGTGCGCTTGCACGTGCAGAAATACATGCCGCCGCAAATTCCGACGAACCGGCGAGCATACAGACGTACATATACACATACATACATACATACATACATACATACATACGTACGTACATACATGACATACTTAACACACATAACATATTATGTATGCATATATATATATATATACATATACATATACATATATATATATATACATACATACATACATCCATGTGTGCATACATACAAACATACACACGTACATGCATATATACATCCATGCATGTATATATGCATGTTTGCTTGCTCGCTCGCTCGCTCGCTCGCTTGCTTGCTTGCATGCTCGCATGCAGGCAGCATGTGTATACACATTGTACGTATGTGCCTCTGTAGCTGAGTATGTCATGCATGTACGATACGTGTGTACTGTATGTAGCGCATGGATGAATGGATGGATGGATGGATGGATGGATGGATGGATGGATGGATGGATGCATCGATGGACGGATTGTAATATAGTTGTGTATATGGGTGCACATCCACGTGCAGGGACAAAGTCAGGTTTGTATGAATATGTATGTATCTGGAAGAAGGAGGAGAGAAAGAGATAGACAGATGCAGGTGGGCGTATGTAGGCGTACCCGGGTGAAGCTGGCAGTGCATGTGTGTAATGTATGTAATGTGGTAATGTAACGAAACGTAACGCAACATAAGGTAATGTAGCGTAATGTAACGTAATGTATTGTCATGTAATGTAATAGTAGTAGTAGTGGTAGTGGTAGTAGTAGTAGTAGTAGTAGTAGTAGTAGTGGTATGGTGATGTATTGTAATGTAGCGGCACGTAATACAACGTAATGTATGTATGTATGTACGTATGTATGTATGTATGTATGTATGTATGTATGCGTATATGTCCGTATGCAGGTAGGGCGGTAGATAGGTAGCTAGGCCGGGAGGTAGCCAGGTAGGCAGGCACATGCGTGTGAAAGCACGTGCAAAGGCTCAGTTTCTAAAGGTATACATACATGCCTACCTGCCGACATACATGCACTCGCAGATGGATAGATATGTTACATACATGCATATATACTCACTCAATGGTGCATATGTATGTACACACATACACCGGCGCCCACATGTGCACATGCGCATGACATCAACGCATGTGTGCTTCTGCCTATGCCGACCTCATGAGGGTGTTTGCGTGCGTTGTTTCAGCTTCGAGAAGTGTATATCGCAGCAAAAGGCAGTGCTGTCCGTCAGGATCCAACTACGTGGAGGTCGTCTTGGGCAACCAGCATCTTTGCGGCATTAGACGGATGAGCAGACTGGTCGTCAGAGGCTAGATCGAATAGAAACCGGAACCAGCAAAAGCAGTCATCAGCCATCACAACGGTGGTCATCGTCGAGGTCATCATCGTCCGCAGCAGCCAAGTCTGCATAATGCGATCATAACATGACAGTAGGGCTACTTGCACAAGCTGAGCCACAGGCAGATCAATAACCACAAAAATTGGAAGTTTGGTAGCCTCAGGCCTGCCAAGATCGCCTTCAACAAAGATGCCGGACCCCCAGTGACTCATCAGTCTTGTGTACTTTCGCCGTTCGTTACGTTGACGGTCGACCTTACAAAAGCCACGATGCTTTTAGTCGTGTCAATGTCGTGTCCGAGTGTCCTTCCCAGTTTCTGGTTCTGAGCAGCGATAGCAGGAACTTGGCATGGAGTGGATGCTGTCCGTCAGACAGGCCACGGATGCGTTTCGAATCTGAAAATGAGAAGTCGCCAAGGATAAGACAAGCTTCCCGCCGGTGATCACAGCATGCAGCGAGAAGGGCCCCGTTGCTGCGAAGGGGCGGCGTGGCGGCAACGTTATACCGAATGTTGGAAGTCGTCTTAGGCTTTCGCTTATTGGTGAAACAGAGTGGGTGGTCGGCAGCAGCATGACTCCCGCTGAGGATTGGCGTCGGGGACTGGCTGATTGCTGTCAAGAAGAAGGAGCCCTGCTCATAGCAAGTTAAAGCCAGCAGAGCTCATCCTTGGCCTGCTCAGGTTGTAATTTAATGCAGGCTTACAAGACCTTACATGCGCACTTTCAAGCGGCAGCTTGGCACTTCCAGTGGCAGACGATCAGCGTCGAAATCACATGCTCGGCAAGTGCAGATTTTGATCTGCTTCCACCCCCTACCTCGCATGAGACTGATAACCAGAAGCACAACTGGTAAAATCTCAACCCCTCAGCATATTCATATACGTGTACATAGTTAGTTATATATATGTATATATATATATATACATATATTCATACAGATGTATATATATATATACATATATATATATATATGTATGTATATATATATATATATATGTATGACCCGAGCTCGCTCAGGAGGAGAAGCAGGAGCAGACTGTCACCTGGAACCCAGCCCAAGCCAATGAGTTCATCGAGCGACCCGGCCCGGGATGCGCCCCAGAGAAGCCCTTTTTTGTTGGGGGGGTTAGGGTTTCTATAAGGGTTCTATAAGGTTTCTATAAGGGTTTCTATCAGGGTTCTACCAGGGTTCTAGAGTGAATAAAGTTACCAAGATTATTCCTAAAAGGGGCTCCTTAGTATAATGATCATCACCTCTTCTAGATGTCTCAGGTTTTTTCGTTATTGTGGCCCCCTATACTGTATATATTCTGTCAAACACGGGGTTTGTGTTGCGAAGCAGAGTTTTCGGTCTTGGGAGCTCAGGACGACCGACAAGGAGAAGATTAGGCCGGGATGCCTGTAGACCTCCGCCTTGACTACAGTCCAAGTTGCGAGCAGCACGACAAGCCGCTGCTTCAACTTTCACGGACATCGAAAAAGCCTGCAAACCCACAAAAGCGGATTCAAACGCCCCTTTCGGCAGGCCTCTTAAGTTGGTCTTCCGGAGGAAGGATCGGATGGAAATCCAAGTCCGGCTGCTGCAGGGGCCGTGCCTTGCCCGGCGAGTCAGTCACGAGCAGTCTCGGGTTTGCGCTTTACGGTCTTATGTTTTGGGATTTCTACGGGTTGCGGAAGAAGTAGCAGTGGTATCCCCTTACAGCCCCTGTGATGTTTATAGCAAAATGTAACCCAACACCCTGATCCGCTTATTTGGGCACCTGCATTGCATGGATTCCCAGGCACAACTTGGAGTTGGCTAACAGCAAGGACGAGATGCCCCCGAAGATTATGAAAGACAACTCGAAGGCGCGCCCGTAAAGTGGTCCAGGGTTTGAAGGTTTATGCAAGCAATCTGCGCTGTCTGTCTGTTTGTCTGTCTGTGTCTGCATGCTTACATGTGGTAAGTGAAAGGTCTTGTGTGTGTGTGTGTGCGATTCTAGTTCGTGTGTGTGTGTGTGTACCCGTTTGTTCGTTTGCATACCTCACGGTCACGCAAAGATGCTCCACCTTGATCCGAAAGGGTTTTGCAGCCCCTTGGCAGGACAAGATGTGGCGGAAGCAGGGCATCAGTCCCGGATTTCGCATTGTAGACATTAACGGTGTGGACACGAAGGAAATGACTGCAGTGACTTGGAGTTGGTTCAACTCTCTGAATCTCAGGTTTTGTACGGTAGCAGTGCGAAGACTCAGAGCCCAGCAACGTCAAGTGAACTGTGGCTCGTATTATAGCATGATGCCCCCTGTGTCGTTCCTCTACACGAGTTTGTGGGCTGCGAGATATTCCCGACACATGCCTTGCATTGCGTCAAGAAAGGGAACCTGGCAAGTGTTGCGAAAAATCGGACGCTTCAGTTCTTCTCCGGACCCCTGGCACTGGCACGAAGGAGAGGACCGCAGTAGTAAATGATAATCTCCGATTCCAATATCTTCAAGTCATTTGGTCGAGAGTCACCGGCTGCAACTTCATGAGCCTTGATTGAGCCCCTTCTGGCCTTTTGAGGAGCGTTTCATTCATCAAGGGGTACTGAACTCTCTGCACATTAGCGCCGCAACAGCAAAAAGGTGATGCCTCGTTTCAAGCAGCTGCTGCAGCTGCGCCCGGCCATCATCTCCTGCAGACCTCATGGCCTTGCGGCCCGGGGCGATTCCGACAGGACTGAACGGTTTAGGGGCTCAGGGGTGTGTGGAGAACCACTCATGAACAGTCGATGCATGGGCCACCTTCTGGACCCGCACGCAGTGTGCGTGAGGGAGTTGACTGGAGGTTTTCACTTTCCAGCTCCGTGAGCTCGAACCCCACAATCGATGTTCTCGAGGTCAGCAGGCCACCAGAGACGAAGCCTCGACGAGCGTAGCCTCCCCTTGCACCAGTCTTACCCCAGACATGATCTCAAGCCTCTTTCGGATCTCGGAAGCAACCCAAGGCAGCAGGCATTTCGTTGCCCGAGTAGGTGGCTCCAACACGCACCACACATCCCCGAGTGCCCACTCGATATCCCGTCAGGGCCATCCAAGAGGTGAAGGACGTCATGCTGAGCGGCGTGGCCTCCGAGGTGTTCAAGGTGCGATCCCAGGGCGTTGGGCAAACAAAAGTGCATGTGGGATCGGCAATTCTGGAGTTTGGGAGAAAAGTTCAAGCGGACGAGCGAGGATGAGCCAGATTTCTGCAATGCTGAGTGTAGTGCTGTTTGCCGGGTGCCTCTATTTCAGGGCTGCCTGACTGATGCCGTGTTCACTGCCGTCCTGTAAAAGATCGAGGAAATCAAAGCTCTCTCCTCCACATCCGTTGCTCGTCACGTGGACAACAGCTCCGAACGTAAGCAATAAGTTTTCGAGATCTCCCATGGCTACTTTAAGTCCTGTTTGAGACCCGGCGTGCCGCATGATGCTAAACCCCTGCAGGAGTATGAGCACAAGCTCAGACACAAGGACGGAGAATGGACGGGTGAGGATAGGGGTTTATTCCCAACTCTTTGCAGGACGGCCCCCTGGCTTTCATGCGTGTTCCCAGGCCAAGCGCAGTGTTCCTAGCCTGCACAGAGGCTTTTCGCGTAGTTTCGCACCCAGGCGGGGGAAGTCCTCTGAGTCCTTGGCGCCAAGGATCCCGGACCCTGTGAATACTCAGCATCTCAACTGCCGCCCCGCGCGAGCTGCCTGCTTGGACGTCCAGGCGCAGGGTTTCTGCCCGATTCTAGGCAGCCTTGGATTGCAATCAAAAGGGGAGAAGTGGGGGAAGGGAACCAGAAGTTGGCCCTAAACCCTAAACCATTGGTAGGGCCTGGCGAAGTTCATTGCCGGCGGCCCCTGGGACTGAAAACGGAGCTCGCCATGACTTGCAAAATTTGACACCAAAGAGTCACTGGCAGATGTTTTAAGGTGACGAGGACGACGACAAAGCCAGGCCGTCTGTGCAAGGATGCCTTGCTCTTAGTCGCACACGAACACACCGTGCCTGCGTTGGATGCAAGTTGGCCTTTCGCGCCTTAACGGGAGGGGCATTTTTCTAAGGTCTTGAGCACAACATGAACCCAGCGGTCTTCCGCAACATCCCACTACTCAGCAGCTTTGCGGCGGGTTGAGAGCTTTCCGGCGCTTCGTGGACAAGGCTTTGCGCTCGGCTCTAAGGCGGTGCCACAGAGATTGGCCAGGTGAAGGCCAGGTTCAAGGCCGGGAACACAGTCATCGCTGTTTTGCCGCCGACCAACAGTCGTGTAAAGGACAAAGCGACGTTGCAAGCACGTTCCACATCAATGGGGCATCTGCTGCGAGGTGGTTTCGCCTCCCAACAAGAAGTGGATGTATGGCAAGGAAGCCTCCCGCAAGCAAGGGGACAGCGAACCTTTAATTGACAACATTCATGCTGCACAGAGCGTGTCAACAGCGTAACTAGCTGAGTGAATGAGTGAAAAAGCCGCCTGAATGAGCGCCTGCCTGCGAGCCCGAGTGAGCATGAGACAGCGAAAGAGAGGGAGTGAAAGCCCCATTCTGCCTGCACATTCGCCACCGGCACGGGTGGCTCACAGCGCCATACAACGGAGGATCCTTACTTTGCTTTTGTCGATGCGCGGATAAAGCTGCACGTGCATTTCTGAACCAAGGGCACTGGCGAAGACAAGGCACGCAGCAGTGGTCAAGACAGACGATGTTGATTCCTGGGGAGCAAGTGTCCAAGCACATGAAAAGCGCGTCAGTGATATAGCAGGTCTTCTTCAATGAAAAGATGCTGCGTAAGCGCTTCAAGATTGATCAGCCCCACTCTCTTCGCGTGCGGACTTACATTATCCGGGGGCTCAACGTCAGTGGCGCGCTTTGGCGCAAACTGGAGCGGATGTTTCCTCTCCCTGCTTCCTCCTCGCAAGCTCTCGAAATGAGACTGCTGACTGCCTGCAAGGCTGTGTCTGGCTATGGCAACCCTTACCTGTACTTCATGTACGGTGACGGGCTGAGGTCGCGTAGGCGAGCCAGGCAAAACTTGGGCCATTGAGGCAGAAGAGGGAGCAGCTCAGGTGCAAGCAAGGTTTCGCTGGAAGGACATCGCCAAATGCAATCCGTCGAGCCTCGCTATTTCCGCACGGAGGAGCTGGGATTGCAAAGGGCTGAAGTGAAGCTTGCTAGGCTGCTGGGATGGGAAGCACGCGGCCACCTAATTGCAAGCGCAGGAGTGTGACATCAATCTGCCGGAGCAGCTGCAGCCTCAGCGGAGAAGGATGCCTCAGAGGGATGTTATATAATGACCTTATCATAGTATTATAGTTCCTGCGTGCTTGTCGTATAATGGTATAATTTACTATCCCCCCCCCACCCTGATCTCCCCATTAACGCGTAGAAGTGCCGATGGCCTCTGTTGCGGCCCTTCGGCTCCTCGGCTTAGGTCCTATTTCGAGATCGGCCTCTTCGACTACCAGGAGAACGGCGAGGATTTGCTCATTGGAAAGAGTGTTCTGGACCTCGAAGACAGGCCAGCGAAAGGGCTGACTAGAGCATGGTTTGGAGTAGATACCGCTGACGGCGATGGGTCTGCGGACTGTCGCACATTGGAAGCAGACGATGCAAACCATTTTGTACATTTGCCGCGAGACGAAGTTGCCCGCAGGTTCTACACCAGGGATTATATGATCATGATGAAGAACAAGAAGGTGGGTGTGTTTCGGCCGGAGGGGTGGCTCGTGACTTCAGCCTACAATTCTGGGTCAGTGAGTCAATGCAAACCCCTGGCAAGGTGCCAATTGAGTATCGGCCACTCATCTGTGAGTCCATCGATGCGAATACGGGTGATGTCAGCACCATTTCCAAAGGCCACGTGCCGAAATAGCCTTTTCCGAGTTGACTGTCCTGCATCCCTAAGTTGTGGTATCCCTGCCCGTCAGGCTCACTCGAGATGTGGATCGAGCTGCTGGATACTACAACCGCCGCAGAGATTCCGGTGAGCAAACTGTTGCAGCCCCCCGCTATGGAAGTGCCTTGAAGAAAAACGCATGTGCTGTAGGATCTGTGCACAACTCGCTTTGTTGAGCAGGGCCTCTAGCTGCTATAGCCATGAAGGTGGAGGTCCGCCTCATATGCTGGACGGTCCATGACCTGCAGATGCGCATGTGTGTGGACCCCAGTCGTCTTGGGACTTGCACGGGACCTGAAACTGGCAACTTTCACAGGCACTGACGAGTACGGCGACCCGAGGGAGAGCATCAGCATCCGCTGCCGATGTTCCATTGATTGCAGGACTTACAATGGGCCCCAGCCGAAGGAGCAAGAGACGGATCAACATGACTCCTGTGTGGGAGATGGTGAGTTCAACTGGCGCTTTCTCTTCTCACGCATCCAGGTTACCAAGGGGGTCCCCATTGATTGCTTCTTGCATCTGAGTGTTTGGGAATACTTCGCTCTGTCCCGGCCGATTATGCTCTGCGAGAGCCTTCTTGAGCTCAAGAGCTATGTCAAGAAGGTCTCCGAAGCAGCTCGGCTGCCGTTACCTCCTGGCTAGACGAAGTCACACAGCCTAGATCAGTCCAGTTTGATGTGACATAGATGCCAGAATCCTCGTGGCAAGGATCGCATGATGCTGGAAATGGAGGCAGACCTGCCTCTGTCGAATAACCAGCTACAGGCGGAGCTGAAGAAAGAGCTGAAGGGTGAAGGTGGTGTGGAAGGAGGTGGCGATGGCGATGCGACTCGGCACACGGGAGTGGGCACAAAACAGGAAAAGTTCCGTGATGTTGCTACTGGTAGTGCAAGGAGTTACCAATGTTTCGACATGCGGTTGATGAGCCTTGAAAACTTCGGCGTCCAAGAGTTTTTGAAGTTCGTGCCGTCTACGAAGACGGGAAAGTCCAAAGAGGTCCAAAGTGCATGATCTCCCCCTCCCCCCACCCACTATGTGAGTCCGTCCACTCTTGAAGATTTAGTCTCATTGCTCTTGAACCCTCCGAATCTGTTCAGGGCCCGCTTGTTGAGCTTCTACCCCTCTGCACTGAAGGAAGATGAGCCGGCCGCAGAAGAAGAGGAGGACGCCGAAGGACGGATGCGGTGTCGCTCAAGACGAACGATGAGTCGAAAATCGGATCCCAAGCCACTCCGAGCTGTACGTTTGTTCCTTTGATCCCCACCGCCTTAAGCGTGCATCCCACCGTTCTTGTGTGGGTGCAGGAGACGGCGAGCTCAATGCCGGCGCAGTTGAGGAGGAAAGGGCGATCCCACCTGCAGCCTACATGTGCCTCGGCCGGCAAACAGGCAGATGCAAACTTGAGGATTTACATCCTGGGCTGAGAAAGGCTATGCAGATTTTGCCATCGTTTCAGAAAGTTGATAAGCCACGACATCTTGCAGGAAGATCGTCTTTCAAGTGCTGGCTCAGACGGAAGCCTCCAATGAGAACAACAAAGTTGGAATTGCACGGAACGAGCCGAACCGCGCCTCGGCTGAAGATGGTCGTGAAGTCGCCCTTCCGCCTTCTCGGGGCATCTCATGCGATCACCTGGTTGCGATCACCTGGTTCTTAGGAACCCCAAAAGGACATAAGCATAAGCATTTTATAGGGATATCCCTACCTTACTGGGCTTCATTATAAGGGGATTTTGGGGGCCCTAGTTTCTGACGCTTGTACACGTCCATGCTGCGTAATTTGTAGCACAATACGTGCCGTACCCGTGCGGCGGTGTGGTTCCTTCAGAGTACTCAAAGCCAGAGGAGACGGCTGCTGCAATGTGAATCATGTGAATGCCGGAGGCAGAACCCAATGCATAGCAAGTATAGCAAGTTGGCCCACTTTCTCTAGCCCAATGCTGGATTTTATGGATTCATTACACCCTCTTCACGTACTCCCGGTCAGCTTTACATCAGGTCAGGATGCTGCTAATCGTGATGATGATACCAGTATCGTCATTAGGTTCTGAGTTCTCAATCACTCGTTGCACGAGGGGGACTCTTCTTTGCTTCAATGCTTGTCTCTAGAGCTACAGTGCTGCTGCTGCTGCTGCTGCTGCTGCTGCTGCTGCTTGCTGCTTGCTGCTTGCTGCTTGCTGCTTGCTGCTTGCTGCTTGCTGCTTGCTGCTTGCTGCTGCTGCTACCACTACTACAGTCTGCTAGGGTTTTCCGGGCAACACTCAAACTTGATTCCGTCCTGATGGAAGGCAACCACTTCCAGACGTCGCTGTCTTTGTCGGGTGTGGTGCCTTGCGAAGCTGGTGATATGCTGAAGTACAGTGCGAACAGTCATGGTTCAGCGTACAACATGGTCTCGTTTGGCAGAGGAAGTCCTTGAAACGTCTGGAATGTTTTTGTTGGGCTGGAAAGTGTTTGATCTTCTGACCGCCTGAAAAGGGCACGCCATGCACTGGAATCGGAATCATCTCGGTGTCTTGTTCAGGCTGCTAGTTCTATGCCAGAAGAAACGACGAAAAGAAGCTAGCATCATGTTGATCTGCTGCGATCATCTTACACACGTTTTCTTGCAGTTTGCAGTGTGTGTTGTTGTTATGCTTCGTTCTGGAACAGCGGGAAAGTCGAAACACTGGGAAAGGAGCGGGGTTCGAACAGCGACGGCAAGACAGTTGATTGTGTTAAACCCGAGAACAATCACCCGAGATCACCATGTCACTCGCCTGCCGTTGCAAGGCAACCCGTCCCTGCCATTCCCGAAAACGGGTCGAGACTGGCGCTACTCCATGCCGACAGCGGCCAGTGTGGTGGAGAAGGCTGCTTGACCTTTGAGGTACCAAGAACTAGAAACCACCTCTCAAGGAGGTGGCCTTGTTCTCCTTTTCATCGGAATCCCCAGGTCATGGATGCTTTCAGCCCATCGAAACGTGGACCGCTGATGACTCTCATCATGTTCTTTATCATCGCCTCCATTATCTCGAACGTCCCATTCGATGAGGACCTGCAGTGCGAAGCTTGCACGCAATCCAGAAGCTTGTACTGGGTTACCGATCTTGAACATGACTTTGAAGCGGTTGGCCGGCCGGTGCAGCACGTACCACAGCAGTGCTTCTCCACGGTCGTCCAAGGTGACCACTGTGAAGCAGAGCTGCTTCGATCAAAGCACATGCTTCCTCTGCAACTGCTGCGGCTGCCCGGCAGCATGAGTCGCGCGAGCGGGAATCTGACGACATTCTCGAATCTAGATGCACACGTGCACGGAATAAGGGTGCACGGGGTCATCCAATCGCGGGAGTTTCATTTGCTGTTCGTGCCAGGGCGAATTGGTGGAGACATGTCGGATGCCAAGAAGCAACTGAGCTGCGGATGGGGGACTCGCCAATGACGCCGACCGTTCTGTGTTCCCTATCCGGTGTGGTGAACCACTCGAGTTTAGAGTGCGGAGTCTTTTGCGGTGAGTCGTGACAAGCCTGAAAGTTCTTGTTCTCCCTCGCATTCTTCTGTTGCTCTGTTGCAGGCAAAAGCTTTGCAAGTGGGGCTTCATCTTCATGAGTCGAACCGTTGATGAGGCCGGCAGAACCCATTCTATGCAGCATTGAAAGCCGGTGCAATGCACCTGAGGTGTGCACCAACCTTGCAGATTGTGATGGGCTCAGCTTGGACAACCTTCTCACCTGCAATGGGCCCGCATCCAGTTGTAGATCGAGGCAATCTAGCTCAAGGAGCGACCTGCTCTGCAGACGCAGAGGGCCGGACTTCCATGGTTCAATGGCCTAGACTCTAGACAGTGCCAGTTCTGATAGCAGCGGCTTAGCCAGGTAATGCACTTACGACCTGCACGGCACCATACGCTGCCTGCAGCATGCTCAGCGTACCCACTGCAAGCACTCCGAACCGTGGTGGCTCTTGTGCGTTGAGGTAGCTTTGTCGCACCAACTGCCACTCGCTGATGCACCTTGACACAGACATCTTCGATGGACGCCTCTACCATGGCTGCCAAAGGTTGGGGGATGTTAGAGGATACAGATTACGAGTGGACTTTCGAGGATCTTCGGGCTTCTCTTGGACATACGTGTAGGATTTCTCCCGCTGAAGCGAATCGCACTGCCGAGGCAGCACAGCGGCTACGACTTAACGTTCATGAGTGGCAAGTGGCCAGTGATTGTGGCTGTCTGAAGCCTGCCCGATCGTTAATGTAGACGTGGCAGCCAGACTGTGGGCACGTGCACCGCAGATGCCACTGAAATCAGAAGCTGCAGAATGCTAGGGCACTGCGGCATCTGTCTTTGTTAGTGCACTCTAGCGTCGCGGCACGTTGAGGCTTTGGGGATTAGAATCAGAAGGCCAGCATAAGACCTAATGCAGGTTGCCAAGCGACAGATATTGCACCTCGCTCCGCAACGTGTCCGGCATCCAAACTTGGGGAACAGTGGGATCACAGATCAAGAACCAAATGATGGAAGCTAACTATGCAGGTTGGAAGTCGGAAGGAAAAGTTGACAGAGACCCTTGTCCCCAGAGTGTCTTCGCCTCGATGCCATCGCCATTTGTGCTTGATCTTCTGGCTGTGCAATGGTCCAACACAGAAGGCTTGCAGATGTGGAGCACCACTTTGCAAAAGGATCCTGAAAAAAGACTGAGCATGGCTTCTTTGTGATGTCTATGCTGCATGGCACCTGCATTGCCACCAACTAGCTTTCTCGTGATGGCTGGAGTTGAGGCATTGGCACAAGGTTGCGAGCGAAGACAGCGAACCCGAAGCAGGAAGGCAGGGTGGCACTCGACACAAGACAGGGGAGCACACAGCAGGCATGAAGCAATTTCCCTTCCCACCGAGGCAAGCATCCGCTCCGTTTCAAAGCTGTTCGACCCTGAGCCGGAGCTCTGGTTTGCAGAAGCTCCGACGAGGACCTTGTCTTTGCCGAGGTCCCGGAGAGTCTATAACTCACCGCCGTCGACTCCCTCACAGAAGGAGGAGCCATGGGAGGTCCTTGGCCCTGTGTAATCTTCTAAATTAGGCATCCCGACTGGGACATGAAGAGAACGCTAGTTTAGAACAGCTCGCCGCGACCGTTGCTTCTGGCAGTTGCTGGGCGTGCCGCTTACCGCGGACTTTACGGCAGTTGGTCTGGCCTACTTTGCTCAAGCACCTCGGCACCACGGGAAAGGTGGAGCTCCCCAACCATGCTCTTGCTTTTATGAACGACGCCTGAGGGGGCTTTGGCACTGGCGGCGCTGGCAAAGCCATTCTATGTGAAGGACGTGGATGGCCTTTAAGCAATGGATCGAGGGTTGGAGGCCGTAGGCTGCGACCTTCTGGTTTAGAATTATGTATTACAATACAAGGTAGTATCAGATCAGGTCATATCGTATCATGCAATATCCTATTATATAGTGCAATGTGACTCAGATGTTGCTCGTTTGGAAGCTGGTACCACTGACTGCGACGTTGCTCAGCAGGATACCCTGGGGATGTCGCCAGCAGATTCTTCGCTGTTTCTCTCTTTCACGTGCCCCAGCGTCGCACGTATGACTCGCGATGTTCAAGTCTGAGTTGACTGTCCCTGGAAGGTACTGGCCATGGATTATGAAGCCATTGTGGGGCTTCGTTGCGCGTGCCCCAGAGTTCGTCTCAGCACAACGATTGGTCATCTTGGAATCCGCCCGCCGTGGCCCACGATGTGTCGGTGCTTGCGAAACTGCCGTGGGTTTGCAGTACTGCTCGGAGTCAGCAGGTCATGCATGCTTGTTGGTAGAGGCCTGGCGGCGAGATGCCTGCCTTCAGGAAGTAGGGCATGTGCGTAAGTGCTACATGCTTCGGGGCCCGAGGCAGACAGCATCCCAATTTTCGGCTCGCACGGCCCTCGGTGTTGAATCACAGTGTGTCCCCTCAGCCGGTTGCCAGAGCTCTTCCACAAGCGAGCAAGCACGCCGGCATTTTGACAGGAGACGGCAGGCCTACCTGGTCCTTGCTGGGGCAATCAGCGTGGTTGGCCAGACATCTCAGACGATGTGTGCCCATTTCAACTTGAAGCTGTCATGCTGCATCATGCTGTCAACCACCCTTTTCACTTCACAACCAGCCTTGGAACTTGCGATGCCCGAAGCAACTTGCCTTTGTTGTATCAACCGCAGGCTGGTTGGGCCTGGCGGGCTGGTGGCCGGTGGAGGTCAGCAAGGAGGCTGCCAGTCACAGAGGGGGCTCAATAGATGGACAGACAGACAGGTACATAGGTAGATGGACAGACGTTCCAGTCAGTTGTTCTTGTAACGAATCTTTTCATGCACGTGGGCTTTTCGCACGTATCTGTATGCATGTGTGCATACAAGCTTAACTAAATTAAAATACTGTCATAGATACATGCATACCTCTGTACACACATCCACACACAGACAGGGGTTGAGACCCTTTAGACCCCGTCCGTCCAAGCATTGGGCCCCATGGCTTGGCGACATCTTCTGGCCCATTTACGGCTCAAAGCGGGGTCGCCCTTCTGTCTCCAAGGCTGGATAGGCAGGATGGGACATCTCTGGTGGTGGTGTTATTATTACTATACAGTTTACTCACATTATGATTACCATAATTGTTCTTGTACTTGCTACGATTATCATTGTAATATTGCTCTCGTCATTAAGATATTTTTAAAATATAGTGTGATTAAGATTGGTATTGTTATTATTATTGTGTTAGTATATCAGTATTTGCACGATTACTATTTTTAATGGTAGTAGGAATGGTAGTAGTAGTAGTAGTAGTAGTACTACTACTACTACTACCACCACTACCACTACCACTACGACGACAACAACAACAACTACTACTACTACTACTACTATTATTGCTGCTGCTACTACTACTACCACCCAGTGCGAAAATTACACTGCTGCTACTACGATGAGTGTTTCCTTTAGCGCTGACAATACCATTGTGCAATGATCGCGAAGACGACGCAAGTATCATAACTCTTCAACATCATGCGGCATCTGGACCTGGCCACAGTCGGATCCGGCTGGGTGCTGGAGGCCGCCACAAGCGCAAGAGTTCATGATTAAATGCCAGTAACAACAGCAGCTGCAGCAACGATCAAACGGATTCACACTTCTTGCGCTCGCAATTGTTTCACTCAAGATGACGATGATGGGAGAGCAGCACTTTCGTGAATCAGGCTGCTGACTGCTGACCCTCTTACAGCCAACTGATGAAAGCTGTAGCCGTGTGCTCATGGCCGAGACGGGAAGAGTCTTTGCAGTCCAACTCTAAGTTCTCGGCGGGCTCCAGGAGGTCTGTTTGTGCTGACAGCGCCGATGCTTCTGCGTTGACGGCCTCCTTCGGCTCCTCCCGAAACGGTGGCGACATGCCTCTGCAAGGGGCAAGGCTCGGTGTGGGGTGCCCTTCGCCGAAGAATGCAGGGTGTATAAGTGCGTAGTACGACAGCCAGAACCACTCTTCAGTCTTCAGTTGTACAGCGCGATAAGGATCTTCTAATTCTAAGGGCATGCGCACTTAGAAAAAAAAATCGAAGCAAACTATCAATCAGAACAACCCTGCACCCAAACCCCACAACACCACCCCTGATCCATTCCTGCCTTGGGCATTGGCCCTGTCAATTCGGAGGCTCGGCGGAGGCAGCGGAATGGGCACCGCGGTCCAGCACGGGCATCGGACCATACTCCCCAGCAAAGAGCTGCCATGGGCTTCCTCCGAGGGTCTCGGCTTGCAAGGGGTTTGGGGGGTTTAGTTTAGTTTAGGTGTAGGCTTTGGGGTCTATAGGGTAAGTTTAGGTCTCAATGCGAGGACTAGGGTATCAGGCTCCTTGTGCTCATGACAGCATTAGAAGGCAACCTTTTGTATGTCAAGACCCGGTTCCTGACCGCGACGACGGCGGTTGGAAGGACTGGCGTCCATGTGCTGTTCCAGCTCCGCGCAATAGTCGCGGAGCCTGCGTCGGGATTGGAACGATGGGAGCGAGGACTTCAGGAGACATGCTGCTTTCTCAGCGTGATGCTTTGGGGAATGTTGGTTCTTATTTACTAGATTCGAGTCTGGGAGACTGCAAGGCAATGCAAGCACAACATCTCGTCTCAGATTTTGAAAGACTGAGTCTCACAAAAACAGAGACAGTTGCAGACACCCTGACTAATCATAGAATCAGAACAGGATCCTCATTCTAAGGACCCGAGCCCTAAACCCGGTACTCCCCCCACGGAAAAAATTAGGAAACTACCAGGATCCCGCCTTGCAACCTCAGCATCATGACATTCCTCCACCTGCTGGAGGAGTTCGCGGAAGCTTCTCATGGCGCTGCCGCTTTGTGCTGCCTGTTGCCCCTGAAATCCCTGAAACCTGTCTTCTGGAAGCACGCCTTCACAGCGGAAACTTCGATGGTTTAGGGTTGGAAGGCTGCGGGTTTAGACTTCGATGAGAAGGGAACCGAGCTGAACATGATCAAGGCGACTGGCTTCCTTCAGAACGATGAAGCTTGAACAAGAACCATCTGCCACCTGTCTGCTACCACGGCTGGATCATGATAGAGCCGAGAACCACAGGCACATCAGGTGTCCTCACCTTCAACGCCTCCGAATCGTCCACCCATCAATACACTCGTAGGAACGCATCCAAGTCAAACCTTGCAGGTAGCATGCAGCTCTCCACCAGTTGACCAGTTATTCAAATAACAAGATTAATGGGTATCTCTGCAACCTGCCCTTCCAAAGGCGTATGACGCTGCTTGAATGCCACCTGCATTTATGCTACCCAGTCTCGCAGCGTGCTGTCTTCAATGAAAGACAGCGCATGGGGCAGGGGTCTCGTGACAAACTGCTACTCCACGAACAAATTCCGGTAGTAGAGTCCCACACAGGGATCCTCTTTAATTCGCTACCAAGAGCCGTGATGCTAAACCTCGGTAAGACTACTTGTTCCAGTCCGAAGACAGTTTCCAAGAAGCCCCTGAGATTTTTGTGCATCGTAATACCCAACTGGAAATTCTGCATTGTCGAGGCCAGCCCCGGGTCAGGTTGGCGAACGTAGCAAGTAAGATTCTAGAATCCGGAAACGAAGCCGATTTACGACAGGCTATGAGTGTTGATGGGGCTGCGGGGGGCCCAACGGCGGTGTCGAGTATTGGGCATCTTGAATGTGCAATATGATAATGAATGGGGCCTTTGCTTTAACCGTTAGAATAGGGTCTTGAGGTATGATCTACGAACTATACGGGCACCTTTATGCGGAGTACAACCCTATAACTAAACTTAGGGCGATCCCCATCTTACGGACACAAACCCCGCCGACTGATCCGTTTTGCCACTCCTTTGAGCTTTGCGCCTTCCTTCCCGCCAGACTGACCTTCTTGCATCCTTGAAAGTTTAGGGTGAAGTGTGTATGGTTTAGGTTTAGGGGTTAGGATTCAAGGTCTGTAGGGGTTAGGATTCAGGGTCTAGGGTCTAGGGTTTAGCGTACGAGTACCTAATGGTTGAGAGTATTGGTCGCGGAAGTCATCACTCGAGAGCGGCTCGGGGGTTGACGCATGGGCCTCGCACATACAGCTCCGGTGCACTGCTGCGCTGTAGCAAAATCCCTGGAGTTTGCCAAGTTCACGAGGATTGCAAGGCTCACAGCGACACTAGTCTAACAAGACACTGCACGGAACACTGTACACTGTGCGGGCACATGCCTCATAAGAGACACACTGGCTTCCGTCCACCTCACTTGTAGCCGATACCGAGCTTGAGCCGAATGTCCGAGCTAAACCCGAATGAAGCCAGGGTTTGTGTCTAGCAACTGGCAGCACAGCAGGGTGTGCCAGGGAGCCCGACTACATCCGACTACTCTCAAGACAAAGGATGATTTAAGACTTTACCACGCTTTAGCTGATTCATGGTGAGATGGGCGGTGCTGGCGCGCAGCTTGGACTCACAGGTCATTGGGGCCACCTCGGCAGTTTATGTGAACTTCAAGCTCGTCTTCTTTGGAGATCAAAGCCACCTACAAGTCTGAAGCAAGCATCGCAGTTCCAAGTCATGACACTCTTCCAAAAGCGATGATGACGGTCACGAAGATTTGATGATGATGATGATGATGATGATCGAATGCTTGTCTTTATGGCAATGTCCTGGAGTAGGACTGGAATGCGCGCGTGCTGTCGCAAACCTCTGCAGAATGAGATTTGAGTCTGATTGTTCTGTAGCCATGTAGCAAACCACATGACCCCCAAGCGCCGAAGATTCAAACTCGTGCAATCCGATCTGTGCTGCAAGACTCGCGATCCTATCTGGGTTCAGCGCCAGGTTAGCAGCCCCAATCCGTCTCGATCGACCTGCACTACCACCACTCAGCCGTAAGAGAGGGGCCGTCATAATTCGAATAGGGTTTTTGTGAATTTGAGTGTTATTTGTGTTGTTCTGAACTGGACAAAGAGAAAAGCATTGGTTTTTGAGAATTGGTAAGTATTTATAGGCACCTATATTCATCTAATGCTGTTGAAAAAACTTCGGACGAATCAGGCACGGTTCCTCTGCACCTGAGTACAGGAGCCCTTCGCATTGAGACAAGGCACGGCACCTTAGGATCGTATCGAAGCCGTGGGGATCCGAGCTTACACATCCTCAAAGCCTGCCATCTATGGGGTTTCGGGTTGGCTTAGGGTTGAGGGTGTAGGGTGTAGGGTTTATATGGTTTAGGGTTTAGGCTTCCTTGCATCTTTGTGGAAAAGGCCTTGATGCCTAAGGAGGCCTTGAAGAAACGCAGATGTGGTCGAGCGTACATCTTCTATGAACGCCGGCATGACCGAAGGACAATGCCTACGTAAGCAACGGCCCCAAACCAACTCTGCCCCAAAGCCGCCATACTCTGCAAGCCCCTAAACACAAGTTTGAGGATAAGTTCAATATAGTAGCATATAATGTAGTATGATACTGTATTACATAGTACATTGTATTACACTGTTATTACACTAGTATGATATTATATGACTGAGATACCGACAGCGCCGACAATGGACATCGGCTTGCGTAGCCGCCGCTCCTGGTAGATGGGGTGTTGGTGTGCTGAAGCCACTGCCGACAATCGTTCATAATTTGCTTTGCACACCAAGCTGAACAACTACTAACAGCGACGTTTTAAGCTACGGCTACAGCAGTAGCTTGCAGACGACAAAGCACAGTAACCCTCCACGGTGTACCGGGACAATATTGGCTGCCCCTGCATTCCATTCCCTACTTGGCACCAACACTATTGTCGGCTCGACCCTCCATTGGGTACGCGGGGCCACACTCAGCATCATCCACTTCACCATCACCTCATCACCAGATGAAGATTGCCAGAATCAGAGCTGGTGCATGAGGAAAGCACGGAGGTCTAAATGCCAAATGCATGCAAACCCCTCAACCTGCAGTTCCTGCCCCTCAAGAGACAGACCTCCTTCCCGAACTGTTGTTGTACCAGAAAACATGTCGTGGCCGGATAGCTCGAGTGGTTCCCATGCCAGAGGCTTGATGAGGGTGCAGGAAGATTTGTGGAATTGGGAGAGGTTTCCTGGGTTGAATGGTTTGGGGCGTATTGGGCTTGGAATGCATTTCCCGGGTTGAGGGGCAAAGGGGTTGGGGCTTTGGGCTTCTGTACTGTCGGGGCCGAAATAATTACCGATACTATTTTAGGGGTTCCTTGTTATTATAATTATAGTAAAATGAACGCCAAAACCCTATTTAGCCTATTTTAACTATTAATTAAGGCCCCTCTATGACCTTCCTCAAGAGAAGTGGTGGGTCCCTCCTTCGGCCACGACGCATCGGGGAAGTTGATGGCAGTGACGCGAAAGCGCACAAGTTCGCCCTGGGCCCCAAAAACGCGCGAAACGCAGCGAAACCCCTAGAGCAAAGAAGCTCCAAGGGGCCCTAAAACCCCTAAAACCCGATAAGCAGGCCATGGCAGAAATTTCTTCACAACATGAAGACGAGTAACTTCGGTTGGGAGAGTTGGGAAACCTCCGGGCAGGGGGTCTCTGAGGGAATTGATTTTGAGCATTGCGGTTTCGGGGCTCGGGGCACAGAGTGCTGCATTCAGGGCTTAGGGATTAGGGTTTTAGGGGTTGGGAGATGTGGATTCCGGACTCCATAAAACCAAGCCCTAAACCTTATTGAATCTGAGTTCAGATCCCAAAACGTCTCATAGACAAGGCTTGGGCGCCGGGTTTGGCAAGAGACCTCGAGAAACCGTGGGTGCCTTGCGTAGACTCTGTCACTCCATTGCATTATGGCTTCACACTCAATCTCATAGACCCTAAACCTTTCTAAAGCATAAACCAAACCTCAGAGATTTTAGTGCCTTCTCGTAAAAGAAGTTGGAGCGCTCCTCCGTCTCCTGGAATGCCATACACTCTGAAACTGCAGATGTATAGAAGAACAGCAGCAAAGATGAGGATGAGGATGAGGATGAGGATGAGGATGTGGATGTGGATGATGATGATGAGGAGGAGGAGGATAATGTTAAAAGTATGTTTCCTACTATTGCAAAAATACTCTTACTTTTCGCTGCCTTATCTTTACTGTTTTTGCAACGTTTCCACCTGACATTATGAAAGCAGTCATACCCTTGCAAGATTAACAGTAGTCCAAAACTGTTGACATAATTAATGGTTGAATGGATTCTTATAGAATTATTTTTGTAAGTCTTGCCCCGATATGGCAAGGCAGAAGCAAATTTCAAAGACGTTGGTCAACGCGCGAAAGTTTCGAGTACCTCACTTCAAGATTTGCCACACCCAGAAAACCAAGAATATGCACCATTCTCCCTAAGGCTTTTTGTCACCCCGGCCTCATCATAGTAGATCCACACCTCGGCGATTTGAGAAATAGAAAGATGCCGGAACAGTCAATGCAGCAGGGGATGTGCGTAGAAACCAGGTTCTGCTGGAAGAGGCAGTTTGATGCTGAGGATGTCTACTCAATGCGAGAAGATCTTGATGGAGCCCCAGCAGTTGAGCGGTTTACACAAAAACTTTTGAACACTTCACTGCTTACCTATCCAAAGAAAGCCTACCTGAATTGCACGATGGACATCCGGACCTCAAATGAGCTTAGGGTTTGAGGGCTTGGGAAAGTTTGGGGTTTAGGGCAGGGTTGTCGAAAACACCGGTAATGTAGTGGCGTTAATAATTAGAATAAGGCTTGGGGGGCCCACTATACTATAATTATGATAAGGAACCCCGAAGATAGTATTCGTAATTATTCAGGCTCCTACATTAAGTCAACCGACTTCGGCATGCCTGTCTTCTCTGACACTCGTGGTAGAGCACGGCAAA